AGCTTGAACCGGAACCACCAGAGATATAATAGGCATGCGTGTAAAAGCCCAAACTTGAAGAAGTAAAACGCATCCTTACTTTGATGTCTACAGACTTGCACATTTCCCTATATAGATTAGCTAAAACGGCGGAACCCCAACTCAATTTTCCATAATCTTCCAAATCCATAACAAATTGTGTCCATTTTGAGTGTATAATATTACCGCTTTTATTAGGAAACAAAACTTGCCCGATAAGCAGTAAGATATAAATACGAGCATGTTTATTTTTATACTCCTCGGGTGACTCCTCGGTTGGTGGTTCATGTTGGTACATGTCTTTAAACCATGTCAACCTCACAGTCATTCCCTTATCACTTTGTGGTAGTTCATCCCCTAAAATAGAACTCCATGCACCACCACCTAGCTCGGATGGACCATTTACCATTTTACCATCTACAAGAAGCCCCAATAACATACTCACATCTTCCAATGTAATTGTGCATTCACCGTTTGAAATATGAAATGTATGAGTTTCGGGTCTCCACCGTTCTAGTAAGGCTATAATTAACCTTGAATCGATGTGTGTGGACCCTATTGTAGATACATGGTAGAAACTAGATTGGTGTAGGTAAGGGATTATGACTGCATATGGCTTTAGAGGTTTGTGAGAATGAATTCTCCATTTTGAAATATAAGTATCATCAATATGTAATAAAAATAAGTAATATAGAAAAATATCCAATATTTAATTAGAGTTTGTAGGTAGTTGGATAATTTAATGAAAGTTGAATAAATATAAATTTGTATACTTATTGAGAATATTATAAATTATACGGTTTTGTACACAACGATAAAACTTCATCGGCTGATCTACTGAATCTGACATACAACTCAAACAGTATTTTATTAACACCAATTCGAAAATCCTCAAACATCTTAAATACATATGTATCTGTAACTAACTTTGAAATATGTTGCATCAACACTCCATTTTCGTTGATTGTAGCCCGGTTGAAAGATATCTCTATAATACTCTTATTAATATCTGTGACTTGACGTAATTGATTTTTTCAAGTGAATGAGTTTAGATCTTTCCATAAGCCATACAACCAAAGGATTAGAAAATGCGTTTCTATAATCAAACATAGTAACTTGTGAATTATACGGAATAATGTATACTGAGAAAAATATCAGAGTCATTTTAATGTGAAAACAAAATTGTTTTATGTTGAATTTATATGCATGCCACGTATGCTATTCACGCCAGTATCCATGTTCTCACGCCATTTGACTTGGCGCGTAGCAAAGATTCACACCATTTGAGTTGGCGCGTATGACCAGATTCACGCCATTTGAGTTGGCGAGAGTGCATCCTGAGCACGCTCACGCCATTTAAGATGGAGACAGCATGCGTGAAATAAATTCAACAATGTTCTTTGTTTATTAATACCAATGCAGTTGTCTGTTGTTCAAACAATTGAATATTACTTTGAATATTACTTCAAACAATGCCACAAAATCATATTTCTTGTCTCTTACATTTCAATGGTAATATATTTACCGACGATAATATTGGAGTGGTCTTTCAAAATACAGATACACATATTTTAAATATTCATCGAAAAAGTGATTTAGTCCACTTGACGAAAAAAATAGAAGGAACTTTACAACAACATGTAACTTTTATTTTTTATCGATTTCTAATAGTTAATCCAGTTGATCACAATGTCACATACAACACTGCAAAAATCGAAGACGATGAAGATGTCCGTTCAATGCTTAAATGTCACTCAAGGTTTTGCAGTCAACAAACAATGGAGTTGTATATTTGTTTTCAACAGGGGCAGGAAGTATATCCAACGCAATCATCACAAACTCATGCATATCAACAAAGTCAGGACTTCCAACAAGAAGAGTATGTCCAAACACAACATAACGAGCCAATATTTTTGGAAGAGGAAGTGGGTGATGATACTGACTCCAATGATGCCAGATAAATTAATTTGTTTAGTGGGTCTAGTGACGAGTCAGGTGACGATGACAGACTGGAGGCAGACCCGACTCCTATACTTGATCTATACAACCCACTGTATCACTTAAGAAATGTTTCATTTGAGTGTGTGGAACCAATTTCAGTCTTTAAACCCTTAGACGAATGTGAGTCACGTGAAGACTTAAAGGTTGGTATGACGTTTGAAAACAAAGAAGCATGTCTCCATGCAATATCTGAGTATCACATAAAATTTTTTATACTTTTAAGGTTTGTAAGTCTGATCTGACACGATATTTAATTAAATGTAAAAAGGAGGGATGCAGCTTCACATGTAGAGCTTCGTTAAGGGAGGGATGTGGTAAATGGGTTATTGGCAGAATTGGAGGGCCACACACTTGCATGTTGACTGCTATATCTCAAGATCACCAAAAGCTTACCTCAAAGATGATCGCCCATAACATCAAACCTCTTGTCGACAGTGACGTGGCAATCAAGGTTAGACATATTATTGTTCATATCCGTACGACTTATGGCTACACCGTGTCTTACAAAAAGGCATGGATTGCAAAGAACAAAGCAATCGAAGATATTTATGGCAATTTGGAGGCCTCTTACAACAACCTTCCGCAATGGTGGCTAGTCATGCAACCATTTCTCTTAGGTACCGTCATAGATCTTGAAACATTTCCTGTATATTCAAATAAAGGAACACAAATTGGTGGTGCACGAATTTTTCATCGCCTTTTTTGGGCCTTTCAACCTTGTATTAGGGGTTTCGCACATTGCAAACCTATTGTGCAGGTAGATGGAACATGGTTGTATGGAAAATATAGGGGAACATTGCTCCTGGCTGTTGCACAAGATGGGAATGGTAACATTTTCCCAATCGCATATTCATTGGTCGAAGGTGAGACCGGGGGACTTGGAGTTTCTTTCTGAAAAATTTGAGACTCCACATCACACCCCAATCAGACTTATGTTTGATATCTGATCGACATGAGTCCATTAAAAGTGCCTACAATAACCCGGACAATGGCTGGCAGAATCCACCCTCGGTGCATGTGTATTGCATTAGGCACATCGCACAAAACTTCATGCGAGCCATCAAGGACAAAAACCTTCGTAAGACAGTTGTTAACATGGGTAATTACTCTCTAATTTTTAACATGACATTTCAATATATAGTTCTTTTATATTAATGTTTTTAATGCTTTTACGTAGGGTATGCAATTAATGAGTCTACATAAGCATGTTATCGGGAGGAGATCCGTCAAACAAAGACAGAGGCTTTCAATTGGATAGAGAACCTTCCAAGAGAAAAATAGTCGCGAGCTTACGACGGAGGAGCACGATGGGGTCACGTGACAACCAACCTTGCTGAATCTTTGAACTCAGTGTTGAAGGAAATCCAGAACCTACTTATTACATCACTTGTAAGATCAACATACTACAAGATGGGAACATTGTGGGGTAAGCAAGGAAAGGATTGGACAAAAAATTTGTCATCGGGAAAGGAATTCACAAATAACTGCATGAAAGGAATTGCAGAAGAAGTAGAAAAATCTCACAGTTATAATGTCTTGGCTTTTGACCATGAAAGATTATTTTGTGGTCCAAGAGACGGTTAATAATAGGAATTGTCGGCCACTTACTCATTTCAACGTCAACCTCCAAACACGAACTTGTGACTGTGGGAAATTTCAAACTTTTCATCTGCCTTGCTCACATGCTATCGCAACGTGTTCTCACATTAACCACGACTATACTACGTTTATTCATGATTTGTATAGAGTTATAAACGTCTTCAAAATTTACATACAAAGTTTCTTCGGTGTTCCCCAAGAAGATAATTGACCTCCATATTTAGGCGATACTCTCTTGCATGATGAAAGGATGCGACGAAACAAAAAAGGTTGCCCGAACAGTACTCGCATTAGAACTGAAATGGACATTGTTGAGAAAATAAAAAGACGATGCAAAATCTGTCAACAACCACACATGTGCAAAAAATGTCTGCATCGCCTCAACAATGCAGGCCCTTCTAACTAATTTTATCCATGTATTGTTATTTATAACTACTTCTAACTGTATTTTTTTATTTAGTATTTTGATTGTAATTGTGAAATTTTATTACTTAATAATTTTTTTTATTATTTAATTGTAATTCTTAAATAGTTATTTTAAGTTTATAATTATTTAAGTTTTTAAATTAATATTTTATTAATTAATTTTATAATTAAATAGTTTATTAAATTATTTATAATTAATAATAAAATTAAATAATAAAAATAATTAATATAACTAAATAAAATACAGAAAATGAGAAAAAAATTGTTACGCCCTTCATGCCATTTCAAATGGCGAGAGTCATTGTTGTGTCTGTTGGGTCCCACGTTCGCGCCATTTGAAATGGCGTGAACCCCCTGGATGTGGCACTCTGAGAAATAATTTTTAGTATGTGGCATTGCAGGATTAATGTTTCAAAACTGTGACACTCTGGAAAAAAAATTCTAAAATGATAACTATAAAATTCAAAAATATCTTAGAAGGTAGAAATAAGCAGTAAGTAGATTTTGATAAAATTTAATAATAAAATTGTAAGATGAAAAACGATAAAAGGTGTTATCAAAGGATTTAGAAAAACCAAAGTTCAATATTGTGACTAGAACTGAACTTGATAACCAAAAATTGTTGATTTGCACTGCTTTTAAGTATAGAAAAAGAGTGAAATCGTAAAAGTGGAGGAAGCATAGAGAATGGATTCGTTGTTAGCATTAGACGCGTGGAACATTGGAAGTAAAGTAAATGATGGTGGATATATAGGAAGAAATAGACATTTATAACGTTAAATCAAAAGGTACATTCAAACATTAGAGGAAACAGATCCAAAAAAACTCCTAGTTACATAATTCCAATAGATGTTTAATAACAAAATAAGATATCCTATAGAGGAGGACTCTAGTCTTGATGATGCTGCTTCTCCAATTTGATTTGTTTCTTCAGTTTGGTAGTTGACTCATCTCCATCAGCACCGAGACAAAGCAGATAATTCATTTGAACAGTGGGGAACAATCCTTTTTGATGCCAAAGTCGGCGTAACCAATTCAGACAAACTATAAGAAGTTATTTCCATGTCCTGATACATATGGGAGGAGTTAATAATGTAAAAGGTACAGAGTGGTATACCACAACTGCAGAAAAGTATTGTAATGACAGAACCGTATATAGAAAGTTTACGGGAATAATAGCCTAATCTTCAATTGCCATGGCTTCATCAACACTTTCATTGGAATGCTAATAAAATTGGAATAATAACGTGTCAAGTTAACAGCACATTAAATAAGAATGATTTAACATAAAAAGTGCCATGGTTTTTCAATGAAATTTATCTGAGTAACGGTTGGGGTGACATTAGGTTGAGACACAGTCTATAGAGACACTTAACAGAATAAGTATTCAATCCAGATTAAATATGACATGTTAATAAATAATAGATAGTGGAAGACAGTTACCAAGTCTTCGCCAAATGAATGTTCTAAATTTTTTTTGAGAGTTTCATCTTCATGGATAGCGACAACAGATGCATTTTCTCAATCAGGTTGCCATTTGACCTTAAAAATCATTGTCACACCCACCAACGCATCAAGTGCCAAGGGAAATTTCAGAGGGTCAGTTATCACAGCCTAATCAACAAAATTGCATATATGATTTAGAAGCAAAATACATAACAAGTATGAATAATGTTATATTTTTTAAACTTTTATATAAAATGATACAGTTTGTACTAACCTCAAGCATGTTGTTGCGCATTTGTGCTGCAGTAAGTTTCAGAAGTTGAAAAGCCTCGCGGTCCCATATAACAAAAGTAGCTTTCGCTCCATGGTAGACTGCTTCAATCAAAATTTTATATCTGTGAAAAACATTAACAAATGAGACTGATGTAGAAAATGATTTGGAAAATAAAAAGGTTCAAGCACTTCAGGCACTCGAATATCTGTGTTTCAGTTTTGTGGCCACTGCCACAGACAAAAGACGGTTGACTTCCTCTGACAACCATTGGACATTTATGACATGCCTGATAATACCATGTTCCCTTAGCAGCTTTAAATTTTTTAACTTTGGCCACAATAACACATTGAGTGATATGAAATTAAAACAAAAACGAAGACACAATTCTCAGGAAGTTCTGTTCCCATTAAACTATTTTAGAAAAAGGCTAAAAGGAAATTTTACCGCTTGAAATTTCACAATTTCTGCGAGAGGGAGAACAATTGCCTTATACATCAGTTTATCATAAGGGGTTATGTGGGAAGAACCAAAAGCCTGTGTGGAACTATGTGTTTGTGAAGTCAAAGTTTGAGATGAATATTCCTCTAAAATCAATTGTGGGATTCTACAACAGGAAATAAATGTAACACATTGTCATACGAAATAAGTGTAAGATATTACATCCAAGTTTATTGATCCATAAAGCAAGAATAGAATAATGCAAAATGTGTTACCTGGCTATAAAGTTCCGAATATCAGGTAATTCATCACAAATGTGCAACTTTGTGACATTGAAAGTGTTAGACACACATAATGGAAAATTTCCTAAATCAATGAGCCAGTTATTAGTAGTGATAGTATAAAATATAATATATTAGTCAGGTAAACCTTAATCTAGGTCCAAAACAAATAATTGTCAAATACCTTACTCCTTGACCTTGGCAAATTGTAAAACCATAATTGTTGGAATAGATGAGTCCTTCCTACCGTTGTTGTATTCGTTGAATTGCATTGTGTATCCCTCCCACAAAGTGCAATTAAGACAGTGGTTACTAAGGATGAATAAGTAAATAGTTTCATGAAATTATATGGTGATTGGAAAATATGAAGTCAAACAGGGTGTTTAACGAAAACAAACCTCAAATCCTTCAGCACCAAATTAATTTGTTGTTTTTTACTTTCGCTCTGTAGTTGAGTGTAACCTATCTCAGAGACCAATCCTATGACGTCTACGAAATGAAGGAAAAAAATTAAATGACAGACGTATGAAGTAAACCAGTTTTAACTTCAAGCATGTTATAATATAAAATGGTTGAACACACCTATCAAGACATTGCTTTTCCATTTTCCAGTGACGATATCAGCAAAAGGTTTGAACTGTAGTGGTTTAGGAGGGATTTCATGTTTGTTTTTGTCAGAAACTGAAGTTCCACCAGTAAATGTCACCACAAATTTGTATTCCAAAGGCTTGAACAAAACATCATTCAACGACACTTGAAAGTTTGAAATCGTACAAGTGTTATTGACTATTATGACAAAATCATAAACTTTGACTATAACATTTAGAACCTTCACATGTATGTCTGATCCCTGAATGCAAAAAAGGCAACAAAAATTATGTCATCATTGCTAACAAAAATTATTATCAGGAACAAAAAGAATTACTACAAATATAAAGTATTATAAATAGACAAAACCACAAAGTTTGAAGGCAAAAAAAAAAAAACCCAAAGTTGTAAAATAAACTTATAATAAGAAAAACCAAACATCAGGAAAACAAAAATTTTAAAAGAGTATATTTATATAGACAAAACCAGAAAATTTAAAAGAGTTTACTTTGATGCAATAAGATGTTGAAAACTAAAAACCTCAACTTTGAACCAGTAAGCTGTTAAAAACTGTTAGATATCGGAATATTCCATATTATGTAAATAGAATATTCTGTAAGTAATTAGGATATCATGTAAATAGGAAATAGAATATTATGTAATTATTATAGAATATTATGTAATTACTATGGCATTTATGCCTCCTATTATATATAATGAGCTCCGATGTGTAATTCAGACACACGGATTCAATCAAATCTTCCTCTTGTTCTCTCATTATTCAACATGGTATCTAGAGCCTAACAAGAGGCAACCCTAATCCGTGCTTTCCCGGTAGATCCACTATCTACCGGCGCCAATTTTTTTTTTCGGTAACCGTGCTTCATCTCCGGTTTCCGATATTCCTTCTCAGATCTTCCATTTTTTTTGGTCACTTCTCTCACCGTTTTTGGAATCCATGGCCGCCGTTCCCCCTCCAAGGGCTGAAGCCCCTATTTTCACAAGTTATATCACTACTCCTCTTGCCGTTGACAAATTGGACGGTACTAACTATGATTCTTGGGCTTCCGACGTCAAGTTATGGCTCCGGGGACAGGCCTATGAAGATCACCTCACTACGAAGGCTGACTCGGTGGCTGCCACTGATAGTGCTCGTTGGAAGAAAATTGATGCTCAACTCTGCAGTCTCATTAAGTCGACTATTAGTCCATCCTTGAAACAGATCTTTCGTTCTCATGAGACTTGCGAATCTGTTTGGGCACAGGCTAAGATCCTTTATACCAATGATACACAACGCTTATATGGAGTGTGTCAAAATTTGCAGAATATTATTTCCCCTCGTCACCTGGATGGTTCTATGGCTGAATACTTGGGTCGTGTTCAAGGTCTTCTTCATGATTTCAATGACTTATTGCCCCCAGCTGCTACCACTGCTAAGGAACTTGAACAACGTCGATCCTTCTTCATGCTTCTAGCTCTGTATGGCCTACCTCCAGAGTATTCGTCTGTTCGCGATCAGATATTGGGGTCTCCTACAATCCCCACTCTGGATACTGCATGGTCTACTTTGCTGCGTGTCCCATCAAAACCATCATCTGACGGCGGAGTCCCACCCACACCAGTTGATTCATCTGCTTTGGTTTCTCAAGGAGGTAATCGTGCTCCGGGTGATTATCGTGGCCACTTTCAGAAGACTGGAAAGCCTCGTCCTAAGTGTGATCATTGTCATAAGCTTGGCCACACTATCGATCGGTGTTATGCTTTACATGGACGTCCCTCTCCTCGGACTGCCCACGTTGCCCAGACCGCTCCACCTCCACAGGCTGCTACTCCGACTGATTCTGCCACCTCACCTGCTATCTTTAACGACTTTATCAAGTGGTATGAGGAGCGTCAGGCCGCTAGTTCCACTGCATCTGTTGCGCACACGGGTAATTCTTTTGCTGGTCTTTCTCACTCCACATCTCTTGGCCCATGGATCCTTGATTCAGGCGCCACTGATCACATTACTGGTAATAAATCTCTTTTTACTTCATTCTCTACCTCTGGTTTATTACCCTTTGTCACATTAGCAAATGGCTCCCAAACTCAATCTCAGGGTACTGGTACTATCCACCTTTTTCCCTCGCTCTCCATTACTAATGTTCTTTATGTACCCGGATCTCCGTTTAACTAACTTATTGTCTCTAAGTCGTTTGACTCGACCTCTTGATTGTACTATCTCATTCACCAAAGATTCTTTTTTCTTGCAGGACCGGAGTTCGAGACGGATGATTGGCACCGGATGTGAGTCTAATGGTCTTTATCTTCTTCAACCATCTGCACATGTTGGTTCCGTGGTGGATTCTCCCCTCCTGGTTCATGCTCAGTTAGGACATCCAAGTCTTGCGAAGTTACAAAAGTTGGTGCCCAACCTTTCCAAGTTATCTACGTTATCTTATGAGTCTTGTCAATTAGGAAAACATGTTCGTAGTTCTTTTCCGAGTCGTGTCAATCGTCGTTCTAAGTCTCCGTTTGCTCTAGTTCATTCGGATGTTTGGGGTCCTAGTCACATTGTTTCCACTTTAGGGTCTAAGTATTTTGTTACCTTCATTGATGATTATTCTCGATGTACCTGGTTATTTTTAATGGAAAATCGATCGAAGTTATTTGCTATTTTTCAAACATTTTATAATGAAATCAAAAATCAGTTTGGTATATCCATTAGTACTTTGCACAGTGACAATGCTCGAGAATATTTATCTACTCAATTTCAAACTTTCATGGCTACTAACGGTATGCTTCATCAAACGTCTTGTGCTCACACACCACAACAAAACGGAGTCGCTGAACGTAAAAATAGACACCTAGTTGAAACCACTAGGACACTTACTTCACAATAATGTTCCTCAACATTTTTGGGGTGATGCTGTCCTTACGGCTTGTTATCTCATAAATAGGATGCCATCATCTGTCCTCAACAATCAGATCCCTCACTCTATTCTATTTCCTCACCAGTCTCTTCACCCATTACAGCCTAGAGTCTTTGGGTCTACATGTTTTGTCCATAATGTTAGTCCTGGGCTAGACAAACTCTCAGCTTGTTCTCATAAGTGTGTGTTCTTAGGCTATACAAGATCTCAAAAGGGATATAAGTGTTACTCCTCGTCTCTTCGTCGATATTTCGTCTCTGCTGATGTCACATTCTTTGAGTCAGTCCCTTACTTTGGGACGTCTGCAGGGTCTGAGTCCCTATCACCCATGTTTTCTTCATCTCCCACTACTGCCCCACCAAACGTAGTTCTGTCTCCTTTACCAGCCAATCCACCCCCATTAGCTCCTTTGCAGGTTTATCGGCGTCGACCACGGCCACCTCCACTACCATCAACTAATGCAGAAATCACCATAAACTCCCCTCCGGATCCAACTCCTTCGTCCCCTTCGGTCCTGCCCCCTGAGACTGATCTCCCAATTGCACTTCGCAAAGGTATACGTTCCACTTGTAATCCATCTCCTCATTATGTTAATTTGTCTTATCATCGCTTGTCTTCTTTGCATTATGCTTGTATTTCCTCTTTGTCTTCTGTGTCTATTCCCAAGACTGTAGGTGATGCTTTATCTCACCCTGGCTGGAAACAAGTTATGCTTGATGAGATGTGTGCTCTTCAAAACAGTGGCACGTGGGACCTTGTTCCTCTTCCTCTTGGAAAATCTGTTGTAGGTTGCAGGTGGGTTTTCACAGTTAAAGTTGGGCCTGATGGATAAGTTGATCGTCTCAAGGCACGTTTAGTGGCCAAAGGTTATACACAGCTGTTTGGCCTAGATTATGGTGACACCTTCTCTCCCATGGCTAAAATGGCCTCGGTTCGATTATTTCTCTCTATGGCAGCTATTCGCCACTGGCCCCTTTACCAGCTTGACATCAAGAACGCATTCCTCCATGGTGATTTGTGTGAGGAAGTTTATATGGAGCAACCTCCTGGGTTTGTTGCTCAGGGGGAGTCTTCTGGACTAGTTTGTCGTCTTCATAAGTCTTTGTATGGACTTAAGCAATCTCCTAGGGCTTGGTTTGAGAGATTTAGCACTGTTATTCAAGAGTTTGGTATGACGCGATGTGAAGCTGATCATTCAGTGTTTTATCGTCACTCAGTTGTTGGGTGTATTTACTTAATTGTGTATGTGGACGACATTGTCATTACAGGTAATGATCATCATGGAATCACACAGGTAAAACAACACCTTTGTCATCATTTCCAGACAAAAGACCTCGGCAGACTTCGTTATTTCTTGAGCATAGAGATTGCCCAATCCAAACGGGGGATTGTGATTTCACAAAGGAAGTATGCTATGGATATTTTGGAGGAGACAGGACTGTTAAATTCCAAGCCAGTTGACACTCCGATGGATCCCAATGCTAAACTTATGTCAGCTCAGGGGGAGCCACTCTCCGATCCTGGAAAATATAGAAGATTAGTTGGAAAACTGAATTACCTCACTGTTACTCGCCCAGATATTTCATTTCCTGTTAGTGTGGTAAGTCAATTTCTTAACTCTCCTTGTGAAGGGCATTGGGAAGCTGTGACTCGCATCTTGAAATATGTTAAAGGAGCTCCAGGAAAAGGCTTACTCTATGAAGACAAGGGACACACTCGAGTTGTAGGATACTCAGATGCAGATTGGGCAGGTTCTCCTTTTGATAGGAGATCCACCTCAGGTTATTCTGTTTTCTTGGGTGGTAACTTAATTTCCTGGAAGAGTAAGAAACAAAGTGTAGTGGCAAGGTCAAGTGCGGAAGCAGAATATCGAGTCATGGCAACAACAACATGTGAGCTTATATGGCTTAAACAATTGCTTCACGACCTGAGATTCGGGGATGTTTCACAAATGACACTTATTTGTGACAATCAGGCAGCTCTGCATATTGCATCAAATCCAGTGTTCCATGAGAGAACCAAACACATTGAGATTGATTGTCATTTCATCAGAGAGAAGATTTTATCTAGAGATGTCAGCACTAGTTTTGTCAATTCAAATGATCAGTTAGCTGACGTTTTCACTAAGCCTTTGAGAGGTCCTCGAATTAATTATATTTGTAACAAGTTTGGTGCATATGATATATATGCTCCAGTTTGAGGGGGAGTGTTAGATATCGGAATATTATGTAAATAGAATATTCTGTAAGTAATTAGGATATCATGTAAATAGGAAATAGAATATTATGTAATTATTATAGAATATTATGTAATTACTATGGCATTTATGCCTCCTATTATATATAATGAGCTCCGATGTGTAATTCAGACACACGGATTCAATCCAACCTTCCTCTTATTTTCTCATTATTCAACAAAAACCAACAAACCTAAAATATATATTGCGTATCAACCTCAACCAGAAATCCAAAATTTTTAAGTTTGATTATAAAAACCTAACCACCAAACACGAAACTAGATAACAAAGGCTAACCAGTTTACATTTAAGGCAGAAGCATTATAAATATCGGTATCAATCAACGGTAAAAAAAAAATTAAAACTATGATTATCAAAGTTCAACATAATCATACAACTTACATCTTTATCAACAACAACCATCTTGAAGTGTTCCTTGTTCTTGTTGACCACAACCCATTTGTGATAGATTTGAACTGCATTCTTCCATATTTATTTGCTATAGTTTATATCTTTCACCAGTTCATAAGGTCTAGCCATTTAAATTTCTGGAAGCAGAAAATGTACCAACACATGTATGTAAATCAGTAGAAATATATAACATGCGTGAAGATGACATGAGAACTGGATAGTGAAAACAATACAGAAAAAAGGAACATACCAGGCTAGGTTGATGTTGAAATCGATCTTGTTTGAGGAAGATGAGAAGCAAAATCTGAGAGAGATGAAGATGACTTGAGAAGTGAAGAGAAAGACGAAAGAATATTGTTATGATGGATTTTTTCAACAACCTTTAAAGTGACTATGCATTGGGAAAGATAAAACTTTTTCAAAAGTTTCTGCCCTGTTACAGTTACCATGGATGCAAGCGTAACAATATATTGTTTAATATTGATTGTAGTGTTATTTTATAAAACAAATCATTTGAGTCTTAACCAAATCTGACATTCTGTTCAGATTTGATTAGATCAGACACAATTTATCTCTAAAAATGTGATTTGTCAAAAATTTAGTCAGGGTTAAGATTGAATTTTCCACATCGATTAATTTTTTTATATTATAGATTTTCAAGTTTTTATTAACATAGGATTTTCACTTCATCTAGTTATTATTTTCCTAAATTATAAACAAATGCAGTAAGTACATTCTAATGCTATAAAAACAGCTACTAATAAATTAATCTATTAAATTGAATTTTTAATGATGGGTGATGAACAAAAGCCATTACACAATATGTGTTCCACAATACTCTCTCGGTTATAACTTTGGTAATTGCTCTATATCAAGTGGGGTTATTCTCAGCTCTTACTGGAAATTGTAGGTTATTTGAACAAGCCAATAATTTAAACAGTGGAACAAGATTTATTTGCCCACGAATTATATTTTTCTTTTGTTTGTTTCCCCACGTTTTTTTTTTGTTGCTAATCTTGCCTTGGGTATCAAGTATGATGTGTGACAAGGGTTTTTCTCATTCCCCATATGACTGCGCATGCAGAAAAAATAAGCCTGCACAAAAAATTGGCAAGTTAAAAAAATCAGCGGAACAAATAATCAACTTATCATATAGTGGATGAATATGATGAGGTAGGAATCATTAACTTTAACTTAATCACTATATATCATCTTACATTTCTTTTCATTATAGTACACCTTAACAGAACCTAAAATATATAAGTGGAAGCAGATCCCAACACTAACTGAACCGACCTGAACTTAAACAGCTGAAATGTCTTTGTTTTCTTTCTCTCAAGCTAGCTCTATTAAAGAGGGGACATTGCATCCTTCCAATCGAGGGATTCACTGCTTTTACGTCCGATTAAGAAGCCAAGTCCAAAAGTTTTCTTTGAGGCCTCGCCCATGTTAATAAAACCAACCAGCTTCCCAACAAGTGCAGCGCTTTCTCTTACGTGGTTCAAATCTTTTGTATCTGTCCATATGAGCCATGCCAATTGTGTGCTTCTGTTCTTAGTCTTCAAATCAATGCCCCACGTCAGGTATAGTTCCTCTTTTGCCCTCCTTGAAAACTTCTTATGCACTTGCTTACTGAGCATTTTCCTCTCACGAGTCAGAGACGCGAGACTGTTCAGTATTTGTGGCATAAAAATAGTGTGAAAAATATTGTATATATGACCAAAAAATAGAATAAGTGTGACTTTATGCAAGTGTTTGATGTAAAGTATTCACAAATGAAACACCGGTCGTAATGTCTCGTGCGATAATCTTGTGCTTCGCGTTTTCAAGATGTTGAAAGCCGAATGGGCAAGACACCATATTTGACACAATAGAAAATCTTTTTACTATTGCGCTTTAAGAACAAAGCATGTCAATGGAGAGTTTTATATTATAGTCAGCAAGAAGTTTCTATTAAATATATTTTTGAAAGAAAAAAAACCTTTTAAATAATGGTGTATTTACTCTGGGATTTATTTTTTAAATACGTATGATGAAGTATACTATGTTTACATTCAGGAACAAAAATGTTTAAACAATTATGAATTTCTGCTCCACAAATGTCTGTTTTTCATCATATATAACAAAAATATGAAACATGCAGAATGGACTGGCCTATCCAGTGAAAATCAATCAATATGGTTGATCATATTCACAAATGTGGACTGCAAGTCAGAAATCTACTCATGAAACAAAAATATTTTACCTTGAATTAGGTGTGACATCAAGACCTTCTTCTCCTGTAATGTATTGTCCGCTTGAAAATGTGTCCTTTAAAAAGGACAAACGTCTGAGCTCTACATTCAAGTACACAGAATTCGAAAGTTCACCTTGGATGAGAAGGAAAAAATAGGATCTATGTACAAGAGGCACATTGCAAGTATCCCAAAGTTTGATTATATCTCTCTGCTGCATCTCAAATTTAGAGGGTATTAAATCCCCCCAAACTCCCGGGAAACTGAGACCTCTTACTCTGTTCACATTTTTATTGTCCCGAGGCATCCTCACAGGTACCTATCATTCATAAAAGCACAGACACAAGAAGAGGCTTCATGAAAGAATCCAGGAACTGAGGGAAGAGATCATAATCTTTTAATCACGTAACATTTAGTTTTAGTTATAATCACAAAAGACCCAAGAGTGATAAAGATTGTTTGTTGCCATATTGAGGTTAATATTTCTTAGGAGCTGGTGCTGTGGTAACGGGTGATACTAGAAGAAGACTGAAGGTAGAAGATTTTATATGATTCATGTACCTCAAATTATTGACTCAGTTGTTACGTTTTCTCTTTAAAAGGGGCATATATGTAACAAGCTTAGAGCTTAGTGGGCTTCTGCTATTATTCTGGTAATTTTTACGCACTATTCTGGTCATTTATAAGAATTAGCATAATGATAAGGTTCATGTGCTATTATTATTACTTGAGTTTCGTCTTTTCACCAAAAGTCTTATAGCTAATAATTAAAATTAAATAAAGCTATGATAAGTACACTGCAAGAAAGATAGATGGCATCAGAATTTCCATTTGTGCTTACCATAAGATTATTAATGTCCATGTCCACTGGTTTCTGCTTATTTTCGTTCATTCTTGGTTCAAAATTGAGGACGCTGGAAGTTTCCTCTGAATCAGAATCCATAACAGATTCTGCATCTTCCACTGAAGCATTCATCTTGTGAATTAGAGAAGATTTTCTTCTTTTAGCGCGTAACTTCGGTTCGAATAGCTTCTCAGGAAAGCGGTCCAAATTAGTAGAATATTCCTTTTCAACACCAGCCGGTGATTTGAATGATACTTGTTCCAGATCATCAAGTTCTGGGGGTGACACAGTTTTAAGCTCTTCCTGATCAGACTGAGGAGGTGATGTGGATTCCTGATCAGACTGAGGAGGTGATGTGGGTTCCTGATCAGACTGAAGAGAATATTCCTTATCAACACCAGCTTGAAATTTGAATGATACTTGGTCCAGATCATCAAGTTCAGGAGGTGACACAGTTTTAAGCTCTCCCTGATCAGACTGAAGAGGTGATGTAGATTCCTGGTCTAGCTTATTAAACAAAGGAGGTGACACATTCTGCTCCAAATTACTGAATTGAGAATGTGGTGAATCTTCCTGATCAGACTGAAGGGGTGATGTGGATTCCTGGTCTAGCTTGTTAAACGAAGGAGGTGACACATTCTGCTTCAACTTACCGAATTGAGAATGTGGTGAACCTTCCTGATCAGACTGAAGAGGTGACGTGGATTCCTGGTCTAGCTTATTAAACGAAAGAGGTGACACGTTCTGCTTCAACTTACCAAATTGAGAATGTGGAGAATCTTCCTGATCAGACTGAAGAGGTGATGTGGATTCCTGGTCTAGCTTATTAAACGAAGGAGGTGACACATTCTGCTCCAACTTACCGAATTGAGAATGTGGCGAATCTTCCTGATCAACCTTATCTACTTGAGGAGACATGGAAGCCAAGCATCTAGATTTGGATTCAAATGTGTCATTATATTTTTCAGAGAGGTCTACAAGATGGTCCTTGGTCCTTTTAATGTCCTCAGTTTTTTGCTGAAGAGCATATTGATCACCATGCCCATTTCCTGAGGATGATTTATCATCTACTTCCTTAAATTGAAGCACGGGTGAATTTCTTTCACTTTCTTCAGAAGCAGGAATGGACATATTAATATCTGTTTTGTGTTCCGTTTCTACTTCTTTTATTTCAATACACGGTATTTCCTTGCAGTTATCTCTAGATTCAGATCTCCTATCCATTTCCTCCCAACCTTGACATGGATCAGGCCCAACAAACGTGGGAGGACAACCATCCAAGAGAAAGTTGTCTTCAGAATTCTCAGATTGCTTGAAAAGGTGCTCATTGGAAATAGACGAAATGGATGTAGTTCTGTCAAAATGCCCAGAATTGATGCATCTAACTGGACTAGGATCATTAGCAACACCTGACCATTCTGAGGCCCAATCTTGATCTACTCTTAAAACCCCATCTTTTCCAACTGACTTGAGCAAATTTTGAAAGAGATCACGTTGCCGAGTCAAATCTTTAATTTCCTTATCCATCTGCAAATATTCAAATTAAGGAGGAAAAGGACTAACTTAATAAAAAATTTCAACAGAAAAAAGAAACAACTAAATTTCTATAATATATTTTCTTTTGGTAATTATGTTATCTGTGAGTGTTAATTGTCTTTTGGCAACAAATTATAGAAATGGTTGATTGTGAAATAACCTCGTCAAAGTTTATAAACCACTAGCCCCATCCATTCTTTCACTTCCACCAAGTAAACAGAAATTTCTTCTTTTGATGGTCCGGGTATTAACAATTTAACAGATATGCTTAGTGAATTTGATTTTAGCTCTAAGTCATACAAGGTAAGGATCTTATCTAAATATTAATGGGGTTTCTAATATATAGCCCTCTTAAGGGCCTTATTATGATGTTCTCAAAATCCAAGTCTTTGAACAGACTATAAAAAGGAAACAATAATTTAAAAAATTGCCATGCCTGGCCATTATTAGAGACTAAGGTGTGTTTATTCTCAAGGAATAAGGACATCTTATGAAAATGGAAAATAGACAAATTCCTCATCCTCCGTAGCTCCTAAGCTTCGTCCGTGCTGAGAAAAATAGAAAAAAGGACACAAAGGACACACAATGCAATGGATTGTAATATATTTTAGCAGCAAACTCATCCTTATTTGGATATGAAACTTACTAACCCCGTAGTTCTTCACTAATTTGAAGGAAAAATGAGCATCATAATGAATACAGGCTGATTATTTTCATTCGTAACAGTTAGTTAATAATTTTTAACCAAGTTCATATATGCTTCTTTTTAAGTGAACCAAAATTATAAAATTGTTTAAAGTATTGTCATAATATTCGATGCAACGCAAATATTACAGTAGAGTATAACTACCCTCAAAAACACAATTTATTGAGTCTTCCTCACCTGTATAATCTGAAGTTCCCTTTCCTTTAGTACGATGGTATTTAAGCTCTTCAACTCATTCTCCATTCTAGACAATTCCTTTTGTAGTTGCTTTACCAAAACCTTGTCTGACATCACGACGTTGACCCGAGCATTAGTAGTCACCTGTTTTGCGCAAGCAGCAAAAAATAGAGTATTTTTGGATTGCTCAACCTGGCTGCGGGCAGGACTAATTGTACAAATGATGGCTGTTCTGGCATTGCCTCCTAAAGAGTTATGCAGAATGCGAGTAAGCTTAGAGTCTCTGTAAGGTATGTGCCCATTTCTTTCCTTGCTGCAATCAATAATTGTGATTTATTATTTAGACCGTTTATGTAATGAAGTAAAGAGATGGAGATGAAAAGGGCAAGAATGATAAAGGAGAACTTTCATTAATGATAACTTGGGGCAGGGGAAAACAGTCAAAATCCAAGATCAGAGATGAATAAAAACATAGAATTGAAGATGCAAATGAAAAGGAATCGGTATCCGGTGAACTGAAAAATCGAATAATTCGTAAATAAAAGAACTTTTTTTATAAAATGCACAAGAGAAATGCATACTCCGACGCCATATTGAGTCTTGATTCTCTATGACATTCAGTCAAAAGACCGAAGTATAGGCGCAAGACTTTAGCTAACAAAATCTCTTTAAAGTTGCTAGTTCTAATTTCATAGATTTTCCTACATTTACCCAATTCATGTACGAATTGCATAACTGCCTAATTAAATGCAGCATTAGTGCTAGCCAAAATGTTTTAAAGTATATGCTTAGAAACATATTATACTAAACTTCTATGAGAAAAATTAAGTTTATAATCAGAATTTTTTTTTAGCATTTTATTATAAACAAAAACTATGTAATGTAACATTAACCTATTTGACACAAATCGTAAACTCAAAGTATAATGTGAACCCAGCCCAAAAAAAATCATTCAAGACAGATTTCCAGAACCCAACCCATCTCAAGTAGCTCCTGGCTGGGCTAGGTCTTGAATTGCCCTAGTAAATTTAGTATCATGTTGTGTATATTGGAAAAATGGAATCAGAATGTGGGTCGTGAACTGTTAGGGTATATATAGAATAATGGGCAAGCTCTTAATATTCTATATTGACCCAAACTTACATGTGATCAGAGTTTTGTAAAAAAATAATTGAGTTGTGAGTTGAGAGACCCTAGCAATGAAGTTTCACAAGAAATGTAAATTAGCAACATGAAAGAATATCTGCTCTTCAGGTTTCCTGACCTACGAAACTATAACACCCACTGGTAAACAGAACACCTCAATCAAAAGGTTCGACAAATTATACAAATAATCTGCTATTGTACAACAAGCAAACTTAAGAAGAATAAAAAACAGAAAAAATACGACATGAGAGAAGGTTCTACCTTAGTTTCCTGATTACTGTTCCGAGTGTCAGTAAACTGCGATTGATGTGGCTACCTTCTCTCAATCTTGTCCCTGCTGATAATGCTTGAGAAGCACGCTCACTTCCTGCTAGATCCACAAAATTCTGTTCAAAGAAACTAATTATTGTTCATTTCATCTACCAGACAACAAAAATACACAAACACGCATCCCTTCTCCAGGAGTGAAAAACTTACCACACTGGCAAAAAGTGCACCAGATCTTGCAGTGCCTACAAAATCACCCGGATTGCTTTCAACTGTCTGCAGAAAACCATCAACCTATTATTTTGAGAAAAATTGGGCATAAAATATGCAATTTTAATCTCAATTACTAAGTTGATTTATAGATAAAGTGAATACCAGTCGAAGAATTTGATGAGATCTGGAGCTTGTTTCATTCATGGCAGTCTCTTCTGTTGTCCTTTCAGCTGCAAGATATATGCAGATACTGAGTGATGGCTTGAAATGGAGCATCGTAAGGTATCAAAAGCATTATAAGAAAAACAATAATTAGACCCTAGTACCTGCACATTTTGATATAAGTTGCTGCAACCGACTTCTCTCTGTCAGAGTCTCCTCAGTAAGTTTCTCGACAACAGTCCCTTTCTGTTTGAGGTGCATAGGTTATCAACCATTCAAAAGAACTAAGTTCAGAAAGTCTTGACATCAACAGAATATGGGAAATATGCTATTAAGTTTACCTCTGGATCATCAAGGAGTCTTAGTGAGGTAGCATTTGAATTGAGAAGATCTCTCACAGCTTCATTATAAATTTCCATGGCAGAGAACTTCACAACAAACTCTCTTTCTTTATGCTGAGACAAAGAAGAAATGTCATATTTTTTACAACAATCAAATAACATCAACTATTTGAATTGTTTTATACCTTTTCTATGTATTGATATATATCACTCACGGCAAGTTCAGTAATTCCCGTCATGGTATACGTCTTTCCACTGCTTGTTTGCCCGTATGCAAAAATGCTAGCTGAGAATAAGATTCATCAATGAGAAGAAAAAAAAATAACACTTCCACCAGCCACCATAACGATAAATAAAAAGTGATGTTAGTTGAACATCTAAAATTTGACACCGCGTTTCGACACTGAATAAAAATAATCATCTATAAAGATTCATGTGACTTGGAGATAGAGAATGAATTAAAAAAAACAAAATGGTATCAACACCAAGGTTGTCAGGTTTGCGAGTCTCAACTTATAGACTCACAAGAGTCTATGGAAAATAAATAGCGACTTTAAATGACACATATACATAATAGAATGCCTAGGGACATTTTGAGACACACAAACGGAACAAACTATAACAAAACAAAGGGCCACTTTGCTTAAAAAAACAAAGCATAAAAACAGCACAAAATGAACAAAGCAACAAAGTGAAGAGAATATCAAAATCTATCTGATTCTAAGCGAGTCTACCACGGAAACGAGTTTGAGTGCGAGTCAAATCGTTTTGGTGTCCTAGCCTAGACTTGTAAACTCACCCAAATCTACGAGTTGACTCATGAGTCTCACAACTATTATCTAAACCGTATATGAATACAGTGCTGGAGAACAAAATTGTTTTCAAAATAACGTTTCTCGTAAATAAATGTAATCAATCACCAAGCATGCAACAAGAATAGGAAGAATATTACTCACAGTTGATACCCCTAACTACTGAAAGGGAAACATCCTTAATCCCTTGCTCATAAACTTGCTTAGTAGGACACTTTTCCCCAAACACCCTATCTGCATCCAACAAATCATCAATAAACAGGATTAGGGATTCAGAAAACAAAATCCTCGAAAGCTAAAAATCTATCACAATAACATTAACAGATTCAATTAGCATCTCCGTTACCAAATGTATATGTATCCGTCGGTGATCGCGGTTCGGCATGGCCATTGTTCTTCAACCTGACGCTGTTATGAGAAACGCATTCCCACTCTGATACATCTTGTCTCGCTTTTTCCCTTTCGTTCAAAGGCCTAACTCTGATCGCAACAAAAATCCTCTCAACTGTGTTTCCTTCTTCCTCTCCGACTTCCATAGCGAACGTAGTCGTTTCTCTAATCTTCACAAACAAAGGTTAAAACACTAACACGAAAATTAACAAATTCGCAATCGTTGCGATTGCAACAGCAACAACGCCTCTCTTATCCATTTCGTTTCTTCAACGTTTCGCTATCGTATTTTCCACATTACTCACGATGATTCAAATATCTGCAAAGCAAAGCAACGATCGCTTTTGTGTTTGTGTTTGTGTTTGAATCGCACGATAAAGAGAAGGAGGAAAAGAAGGTTAATCGGTGAAACCGTTTTCTCTGTCTCGGTGGCCGCCGGTGGTGACCGGAGAGAGAGATAACGGAGTTGGAGAATCAGATGAAGCGGGTTGTTATGGTGTTCTCTTTCCGCAACCACCGCGAAATATGAAATCGTTTCGCCCGCTAAAACTGAAATTTAATTGATTCACTATTTTGCCCCTTACTTTTATAGTTATTCACGTTGTCACCTATTGGAATTGTCCTCGTAGAACTGCCCCTCGTGTGGAATTGTGAAAAGGGTTGTTTTCAGTTTCTTACAACTTCACCGTCTGTAATTATACCAGTCTGGATATTGTTTTCGTACAACTTAAGTTCGGTATATCCCTGTTCCTTCGTTGTCAAAACAAGTTGAACTTCATAGTTTGGATTCTTATATTTCAATCTCACTGAATAAGTTAAGAAATAGCAAGTTCAATACCAATACACAGTCCAATGAAAATGTTAGGAATAATTATTTTTCATTACAATAATTCACTCTATATTATATTTTCTTTTTGTTAATAAGAAAATATCAAACAATTATATATATTAATGCAAATAACATCATTTGATAACTCTAAGGATGTTAGTCAGTCTCAGTCACTTTGAATGACATTTCTGCTAAGAATTTCGGTTTGTTTTTCTCATTTAAAGTCCTTACTTCGAAGGAGGATAAGGGAGGTATATTCGCTCATTATGAGTTTTGAGGGACATGTTTGAACATATTGATGTTACGATGATAAATGCTCAAAATGGCATGTTCCCGGGTATCTTGACCCCGAACGGCGTATACGGCTTCTTCTAGTCCTTCGTCTAGATTCGGCTCCATACTAGCGCACCATCCGACCCAATGATCGGGATGAGATACACGGGATGTACACAGTCCCTCAATGTGAGGTCTGAAGGATCGAATTGCTTAAGGGTAATGTCATCTTGACCGCCAATGTCTGGGATATAACATTTGGTAATTGCACATCGTTATATGCTTAGATCCGATCTAACATGCTTGTGCCTTCCCGTCAGTTTTTAGGATGTACATAGTTCCCTAAACATAAGGTCTGAAGGGGATAAGTGCTTAAGGATGAAACTGTTTGATTAATTCGACCAAGTCTGTCGAACAGGTTCCAGCTCCCGCCCATTTACGAGATGTACACAGTCCTCCAAACGTGAGGATTAGAGGGACGAGATGCTTAAGTTAGTAAGTCAAAGAAAGAAAGTGATGACTCTGACGAAGAAGCTCCTAAGAAAGAGGAGATGAATTTATTCGTCAAACATTACAATAGATACCTAAAGAGAAATAAGCTCAAGTATTTTGACAAAAGTTCGTCCGCTCAGAAAGGAACACAAAAAAAAGGATGATGACATTACGTGTTCCGGGTGTGGTAAATTGGGACAGAACTACATGTCCAGGTCTCACCAACCATCATAAGAAGAAAGATAAGGAAGTCTAAAAGACGAAAGGAAATAATTCCAAAGGTCGTAGAGCCTATATCGCGTATGAAGAAGAGGGTGAGAGCTCCTCCTCTGATTCTTACTCAAGTTCAGATGATGAATGTGTCAACCTATGTTTGATGGCACGTAAGAAAGGTGAAACGTCAAAGGTATACAATTCTAATTCTGATAATGAATATTCTTATAGCAAAAAAAAAAATTGATTGTCTGATATGCCCGAGCTTACCAGGCTGACATAGAACATTATACTCCCTTTAAGTTTGGGGGTGAAGGCACCTATAATAGTTTTCAATTATGTTATTCGTTCCATCTCCAAAGATATCTTAAGTGGGGACGTCGCTCACATGTCGAACATGTATTCTAATTTGTTGAACATTATTTAAGGTCTCTCGTGCATCTCATATGCATGTAAGTGAGTGGACCAAAATCATTGATACTATATATCCGAGCTACAATATTTATGACGATCTAGATAAACTCTCAGAGTTTAAAAATAACTATAAATGATGAATACGTTATTTAAGAATTATATTTTTTTTAAAAACAAATTTTAATTATTATTATAATTTTTTATTTTGTTAAGAGACCATGCTAAAGAGTGTCCAGAGCACTCTTTAAGGATTTTAAATTAAAAAATAAAATTATTTTAATTTCTAAAATATTAAATACACACATTTTTTACATAACTTATTTAAAAGTGACCTGGAGATAGGGGTGACAAACGAACATATCCGTCACGTTTAGGTCAGCCCCGTAAAAGACTGCAAAAATAGGGTCGGGCGGGCATTGTTGAGGATGCGGGCCTAAAACTTATCTTTGTCTCGCAAAAAATGAAGGTGGGATGGGAAAAGCCTGCGGGCACTGTATCTTTTAAGTCTAAAAACACAAAAATTTATGTAAATGCGCGTGCACGTAAAAGTCCGCTAGAAAACGGAGTGGGGCGTGGCGGACACATTAGAGGGTGAGGGCCTAAACTCTTGGCTCATCTCGCACTAAAGTACGGGTAAGATGGACATTATCCAACGGGCTGGGGCCATTTTACCATCCTTATCTTGGGACATTTGTTAGCATTTCTTACTATTAATATTTGTTAATAGATTATCAAACTCTAATATTTATTCTATTAAATCACCAAATTTGATGAAATTTATCATAAAAATATATGTTATTTTAAATAAATAAAAACTCACATCACATTACATTTTATACAACATTTAAATTAAATGTATTTTTATTAGGTCTGAAAATGAGTTGAATCGAACTTGTCTCAATTCAGTTTGATAAGAATTGATTCAGTTTAAAATTTGGTTCGAGTTTGACACTGACTTTTTTAAGCTCAAAATGCATTTGTTTTAAGTTCACAAACAACTCAGTTCAACTCGTTAGATTTATCTCGTTAAGTTCGGTCCGTATGCTTCACAAACTTATATGTCATTTTTTTCTAAATATATTTTTTTATATATTTAATATTTAAAATTAATATTTTTTAAACAAATATTGAAATAAAATTAAAATTATAAAATTGGCCAATTGACTAGAATGGACTCAATCTGCTTCCACCTTCAACATAGCCTAAATAACTTTGGCCCACTAACTCTGGTCCTCGGTCGAGCAAGCTCGGTCGACCACACCACTAGAATACCAAGGGTGACAGCATCCTGACCACCCGTCTGCCTGCATCGTCATCTGTCTTTGGGTATGCTCACTACACGTCGAGCATACAACCAGGAAAGCGCTTATAATGTGTCTGCCCATCATCTCATCCTTCCTCGAAGCAACGGCTAGTTACGGGCATGACTGTCCGTTTTGACCAGGTCCTGGCAGTTACCTATTTTTGGGGAATATAATATCTAAGCCTAAAAATAGGAACCAGTAGTTACGTGTCGGGGACATTATATAAACCCTCACATTCGTGAGGGTCAGGTATCAAATATTCATACGAAAAAACCCTAATATCTTTCTTGTATCTCTTTGCACCTATTCTTACTTGATCGTCGGAGGGCCTTGTAGATGTCATCCTCCAGTCCACTTTCAAGTTCTGATCAACCGGTAAGATCAGTGGTGTTGTCTGTGGGAATTTATCTTTCCCATCTTCCCTTTCCTCAAAACCAAAGGCCAAATATACTTTCACAATTTCTATCATGGCTGACCATGATGACCACCACCTTTTTGGAAAGATTGTACTCTCCCCCGTCCACAAGATAGACGAAAGCCAGGAACATCTTCATCTCGAGGATGCCCCCGATGTCACAGATGGTCAAACAACGTCCCCAGATTATGTCGATCTTGAACGTGACAACCTCCAGTTCTTGGACGATCAGAGGTCCAAGAACCCCAACGAAGAACTGCCAGAAATCCTCCAGACAGTTCCTATTCCACCAAATACCGACCCGGCCATGGCAGTGTTGCTCGCTACCCTCAATCAAAACAACGCCCTAATCCTGCAGCAGAGCAAGATGATTGGGGCCTAGTAGAAGAAGCAGTCAAAGTCTTCTCCTAGGAGACACCAGCATTATGACTCCCGCAGTTCATCACCACCAAGGCGCGACCGTCTTCCCATACGAGAGAGGCGAGAGGTGTCTTTCCTCAAGAAACAAGGTCGCACACCTCCCCAGAGAGATCAACGCTCCCTGATCTCCAAGAAAACAAAGAGTGACCAGTGGCTTGATCGTGACTGTTCTCCGTCACCTAGGCCAAGACATCATCTAAGGAGCACTTCTCCCCAACAAGACGACAGCCCCCGACGAGGAAAAAACAACTACTCCCCGTCAGTGTCTCTTGATCACAGTGATAACGACGAGCCCCGTAGCCTGTTATCCAGAGAGATCATGGAGACCCTACTTCTTCGGTCTTGAGAAACCCCCACACTCGGGGACGTGCGATGGCACGATAGATTCGGACGAGCACATCGAAAACATCGATGTGTTGCTCGACTATAGAGGTTGTCGAGGAGTAATCAAATGTTAAATCTTCCCAATGACACTCAATAAAGGAGCCATGGCTTGGTATAAAATCCTCCCTGATAAATCCACTACCTCTTGGAAGGGCTTGGGGAGACAATTCTCAAGACATTTCACGGTATCTCGCCGACATCTTAAGTAAGAAGTTGCGCTCAATGCCATCATCCAGGGGAAGGATGAGTCCCTTCGAGCATACATTGAAAGGTTCAACCAGGAAGCTGCCCAAGTCTCCACGACAAACGGAATGAAAAAATATCTCCTCGAGTGAGGCATGTGCCCTCGCAATGATTTTGCCAAAGCAGTTGGCATTGAGACTCCTATTGTAACACCCCAAA